CATTTTATCTATTTCTTCTGGGGAAAATTGATCCGCATAACATTATTTCCCATAACGTCACGTTTTCAGGAACGTAACCCCGACGTTAAGCGAGGACGCCCTGTAAATCAATGTCACGATGCTTCACGAATTGATGCTTAATGAACATTCTCTGTCCCTATCTCACTAAACATCACGAGTCCACTGTATTTTAGAGAGAACACACACACACACACACACACACACACACACACACACACACACACACACACACACACACACACACACACACACTACTACTACTACTACTCTACTACAACTTTGCTGTCATATGACGATCATCCAGCTATGATACAATGATATGAGTTATGAGAGATGCCAACTTCAATGGTGAATTTTGAAGTGACTAAAGAGGCCGATACAGGACCGGCAGAATTGCTCACAGATGTTAACATGTGGAGGGCTACATCGAGTGCGGGAGGGGCAGTGGCAGCGTCTTTCCGGTGTTGACGCTTGTCTGCCTCGGTTTGCAGTCGGGCTAACTCAAAAATATTGACACCTTCTCGTGTGGTGCTCCTCCAAGCGTTACAATGTGGAGTAATCGTCTCCCAGGTGAGGGGGTCGATTTGACACTTTTTCAGGTTTGTCTTAAGACAACAGTAGAGCCTCGAATAACGAAGGTAATGTGTCCTCCAATATTGCAGTGTAAGGTGAATCGTCTTATTGTGAATCATTAATTACCATTAAAATAAAGCAATAATAATGAGATGCGTTCCCAAGTGTGACCTTTTCATATCTTTGGTGTGGCTTTTTACCCTCTTTTCCCCCAAAACAACACAATAAATAAAAAATGCAAACTATATTCTTTAAATAATGTTTCTTAATGCTCCTTATACAATATAAATCAATAATAATGAGGTCACCCAAGAGAAGATGGGACGCCATTGTTGTTGTCAGTGTTTACACCCATAATGTCAGTTATCCATCTGAAACTGAAGAAAATAAGACCCTGGTTGTTGCTGTAGTAAATTTAATGTAAAAAAATATGTATGATTTAATTAATGTTGTTTAATGTGCAGTAAAAGTAACCACTGATGTTAAAGGAAAAAAAAAGAGACTGATAGCGGAACACCAACGTTTATGTGCGCCTCAAGGAAACCGCATCATTTATCTTATTAATAATATGTACAAAAAATTCATTATTGTTTATTACTGAATATGTATTTGATTGAATTAATGCAAAATGAACAATGCAATTCATTTATAATACATAGAATATTAAAACACACTAGCCTGCTGGACCACCACTCCACGAACCCCTGACGGAGACACGATGATCCTCCCCATACTGGCCAGATATTTTGTAAATAATATTGATTATGTGTTAAAGGAATATCCTTCCTTCCTTAGGCTTCAGTAATCCCCTTTATAATATTTATACTGTATATACTTGTCACACTTGCCACATGCTTCTGGTGTCATCGTACAGGGGTACCTAGTGACAGCACTAGGATCCCGCTTCCTCTATCAAGGAATAAACAATTGAAATTGAATTGAAACACACAAGAGGAGACAAGATGGCATTGTTTTCATGAGTGTTTACACCGAGGATCATGGTTCTACTGTACATAAGAAACTGAAGAAAATAAGACCGTGGTTGTAGCTGTATTAAAATTAATGTAAAAAAAATGAATATGTATGTTTTAAGTAATGTTATTATTAATGTTAATAAATGGAACAATAGACATAGCTCACCATTAATGGTAAAGAAAAAACGAAATGGATTGGAAACGCCAACGTGTGTAAGTGAGTACATGTGAAAACATTGTCATTTCTCTACATAAGAATATGAAAGCACCACTTATTACTGTTCAAATATGTTTTAAATAATACTTACTAATGTAAAACAAAAATTCTACTAACCAATGGTGGTAAAGTCTAAGACATAAGGACAGACAATGAATATTGTGCGAGTTTTTACTCAGATGACGAAGTCATCAGGTTCAACTCTGGCTGAAGCTGTAGGTTCAACTCTGGTTGAAGCTGTAGCTTTCCATAAAGGTGTCATAGCTGTTGCTGAAATTGTTACTGAACCTCAAGTTGTAGCTGAAGGTGCTTATGATGCTGAATTTGATGGTGTAGCTGAAGGTTTAGGCCTTTGAATAATAAAGCTGTCGAAAGAACCTTGCACAGGTTCTTCACGAGTAAGGAAGGCAGCCAAGAAAATGGAAGAAAGAGTTGGTGCCAGTACACACCCTTGTTTAACCCCCATTTGGATGGGGAAGAACTCAGACTGGATGCCATTGTGCAGGACACTGCCGTTCATGCCATCGTGGAGTTGCCTCACAATGGCGATGAATTTTGGGGGTGCAGCCAAAACGGCTGAGGGTCCACCTGAGGGTTTCGCTGTTGACTGAGTCAAAGGCCTTGGTTTGGTCAATGAAAGCCATGTACAGGTCACGATTCTGTTCTCTGCACTTTTCCTGTATCTGGCGGGCAGCAAAGATCATGTCAGTGGTGCCACGTGATGGTCTAAAGTACATTGAGATTCTAGGAGGAAGTTTTCCGCCCCAGGAAGAAGTCTGTTTCGGAGGACTAAGGGAAATAATCTTGCCAGCTACGGACAGCAGCAAGATCCCACGGTAGTTGCCACAGTCTGACCGGTCTCCCTTGTTCTTATAAATATTGACGATGAGGCGTCTTTAAGAGCTTGGGGGATTTCCTCCTTTTCCCATATATTCTCCAGGAGAGAATGGAGACGGCTGGTAAGCAGAGGTCCTCCTGCTTTATACACCTCGGCTGGGATTTCTTCAGGCCCTAGGGCTTTGTTATTTTTCATCTGTTTCATGGCAGTAGTTACCTCATCCAGGGATGGAGGATAGCTGAGGTGGTTCAACTCTGGATGCTGAGGGACCTGCTGGATAGTCAAGACATCCACGTCAGTGTTTCGGATGAGCAGTGAATGGTAGTGATTTTTCCGGTGCTGAAGGAGGACGTCGCTGTCTTTAATTATGGAGTTACCGTCGGATGAGCGGAGGGGGGATTGCGCCACGAGTGATTGGCCCATAAAATGCTTTGGTGGAATTGAAAAATTCGCGCATCTTGTGTTGATCTGTAAGTTTTTGCATTTCACATGCTTTATTTTTAAACCAGTCGTTCTTTAGTTTGCAAAGTTCCCGCTGGGCTGCCGCTTTCTTCTTGTGGAAGGTATCAGCTTTGGTCCAAGACTGAGGAATGTTCTGCCAGTGCTATGCTGCCATATGCTATGATGAAAAAGGCATGACACGGGTGATTCAGTGGGATTCGGAGGATCATGAGACGCTCGTTGATCCCAATAGGCATTTCAGTTAGCCTGTGTAGGATGCGTTGGTGGATGGCAAAGCCAACTCCATATATGCAGTTTCTCTCCGCAGCAGGTTTACCCTTCCAGAAGAAGGTATAGTCAGAACCCCGTTCTGTGAGTTGACCCTCGCCTGGGAGCCGGAACTCACTAATTCCTGCCACGTCGATGTTATACCTAGCCAGCTCTTTTGCAACAAGGGAAGTTCGTCTTTCAAGATGCTCATTTGTGCCAGTATCCAGAAGGGTCCTGACATATCATGCAGCGACCATAAGAGGTTGTATAGTTTGTTTTTGTTTGGATCTGTGATTTTTATTGTGTTTTCAACCGCATAAGAATGACCTTACTGAGTGTGGTTGCCCAGTCAGGTTGTTTTTTTTAGGCAGGCTATGTTTAGGGTACCTTTTTTAGCCCCCTCCCCATGTGGGGTGAGCAGAGTGGCTCCTCGAAAGGGATGATCAGTCACACAGACAGAACCGGATTGCATGCTGCCTAGATCCCAGTGCATAAACGACCATCTTATCTGTGCCGCCCATGTGCAAAGTTGTGACTAGACTCTCCCGGCAGTCATCGGTCTTTTGGGGTATAGGGTTTTGATGAGAGCTGGATGATGGCTGCGCATGAGTCGATTTATGTGGTGAGGCAGGAGCGCAGGCTGGAACCACACATCTTGGCTCTCCCTTTTCCTGATCCAGTGGCACAAGTGTTGCAACAACTCGGGAGAGGGAGAGTTGCAATGGACTGCCGATAGCCCAGATTGTTGGGTATTACCTTCGTAGCCTGTCCATCATGCATTGCCTTCATCCGCCGGTGTAGTCATTGGCGATGGGGTCTTGTTGGAGCTCTGTAAGCATGTTTACCTGATGCGGGGCTCCATTGCAGGTTTTTCATTCAGGGTTTACTCCCGTAGCCTTATACCTACCAAGGTTAATCCACAAGGCAGCGGGGCAATGGTTGGTAGGTGCCAAGACGTGTCCACATGCCAGTGGGCCTGTGAGCAGTCCCTCTGGGGCCCACTGCTACTCTGAGATCGCCTGTTGCTCTAGTCTGGGCCCATGAGGCACCCAGTCACTGTGTGTTGCCACGAGGAGGCACAGCAGGAGTCTTGATGGTGTTGAGGCTGTGTACTGGCAGGGGGAGACTTATGCAAGTTGCTTCCCTGATTGCCACAAGGACTAGCCAGCGGTGGCAGCTGAAAGCGAGAGGGAGCAAGCAATGCCTGCACCTTAACACTAACATAATGCTGCTACACTAGGTGCATTACACCACCCTGTTTGCAGGGGAAGACTTAAGCAAGTTGCTTCCCTGTTTGCCACGAGGGCTAGCCAGCGGCGGCAGCTGAAAGCGAGAGGGAGCAAGCAATGCCTGCACCTTAACAGTAACAAAATGCTGCTACACTAGCTGCATTACAACACCCTGTTTGCAGGGGAAGACTTATGCAAGTTGCTTCCCTGTTCGCCACGAGGGCTAGCCAGCGGCGGCAGCTGAAAGCGAGAGGGAGCAAGCAATGCCTGCACCTTAACACTAACACAATGCTGCCACACTAGATGCATTACACCACCCTGCACACACACACACACACACACACACACACACACACACACAACTATAAATGCACAATTAATTCTCATACATTTGCAGTGATTATATTATTAAAATACAGAGGAAATAAAATACTTACCCGTTGTGCACTTTGAAATATGGCATCAGTAAGAAGAGGTGTTGACTGTGTCCGCAGCGTGTAGTTACCTGCCAATGGTTCATTTCATTTTATTTACAATTCAAAATAATTTTATATAATGAAATTACTGAGATACTCATAAAATCAGAAACAGCTTTATATAACAGTGAAAAATTGAGTCATTGTCTCACACAGTGGAGAAATTTGTTTTGTTATTTGAAAAATTATTGTACATTACCAGTTAAAATACTGTACAGGTCCACCACCGATTTTCCGGCACCCTTGGTTCCAAAGCCTTGCCAGATTATCCGTTTTGCCGAAGCAACCAAGGTCAGGTAATGATAATTCAACAATACTGTAGACCTCTGACCCACTAATTATACACCTCCTGTATCTTTAAAGCACCATGGACTGCTATAAACTTAAATTAAACAAATATTAAATGTGAAAAAGCCATAATATTGAGCAACATTACTGTACACACTTTGTACTCAAATGTACTGTACAGGCAAACCCCATTATTCATAGCTTCGGTATTCATAGCCCCGTTTATCTGCAATGGTTGTCCCGTTTATTTGCAAATTCTTACGAGCAAAAATTTTTAACAGCGCACCTCAACAGTAGCGTAGGACAGCTTGTGTACCTGTGTACATATTCCTCCGTCATACGCTCCCGCTCGCCTCAGTTTCACACGTGCTGGCGTGTGTTTTGTGTGATCTCGCAGTTGTGTTTTGTGTGATCTCTCAATGCCTAAACGACCAGCTACTAAAACTCCCAGCAATGTTGCTAAGAGATCACGTGTGGCAGTTACGTTGGACGTGAAATTGGATATCGTAAAAAGACATGAACATAGAGAAGGAACGTCAGTGATTAGGCGCATGCATGGCTTGGCTCCCTCTACTGTGTATTCTATAGTTAAAAGCGCCGACAAGATCAAGGAGATGGCCGGGTCTGCAACACCACTGACGGCCACGAAGGTGACGAGGTTCCGTGATGCTGAGATGGAGAGTATGGAGCGGATTGACGACCAGACCAAGCGCCTTAAAACACCGTTATCACAACGCATGATTCAACATAAGGGAACATCGCTGTGGATAGATATAACTAAAGATAAACCCAACGTACCCACCAGCCATGGGTGGTTTGATAGATTTAGGAAACGTATATCAATTCACAGCCTAAAAATACAAGGAGAATCAGCTACCGCCGACCATGAAGCAGCAGAGAAGTTCCCACCGTTTCTCGCAACCATAATTAAGGAGGGTGGGTACAGTCCTAAGCAAGTCTTTAACTTGGACGAGACCGGACTCTTCTGGAAGAAAATTCCTTCACGGACCTACATATCTAAGGAGGAAAAGACCGCACCAGGATTCAAAGTTGCCGAGGACAGCCTCACTCTATTGATTGGTGGAAATGCTGAGGGTGACCTGAAGTTAAAGCCTCTCCTTGTGTACTAGTCTGAAACACCCCATGTTGTGGGGGGGGGTTGTGAAGGGAGAATTTCCTGTCGTCTGTTGTTCAAACCGTAAGGCGTGGGTGACAGGGTCTGTGATGCACGACTACGTGTTCAACTATGTGTCCGGTCGCATTAGTCGCTATAATAAGGAAAATAATTTTGATGATAAAGCTCTGATGGTAATCGACACCGCACCAGGTCATGGTTGACTGGTGTAAGAACATTAAAGTTGTGTTTTTGCCTCCCAACACTATGGCTTTGCTGCAACCCATGGACCAGGGCGTCATCTCTACATTCAAGGCGCTTTACACTCAGCGTATCATGGAGCAGCTGATTGACGGGACCAATGGAGAAGGGAACCTACAATCCGGGAGTTTTGGAAAAACACTACAGCATCAGAAAAGCCAAAAAAAACATCAGTGATTCATGGGGGACAATAACACAACAGAACATGAACGGTGTGCGGCGTAAGCTGTGGCCTGAGTGTGTGCACAGCTTCGTCGGTTTCCCTTCAGTGCCTGCAATAAGGAAGACTATTGTGACTCTTGCAAAGAAGACTGGATTCGATGAAGTGGATGACGCTGACACAGAAGACCTCCTCGACTCTCACAATGAAGACCTTACCAATGAAGACCTGATAGAACTGGAGAGGCTTCAGCAAGATGAAATGCCACTTGCAACGGGAGAAGGTGCAGATGAAACTCCAACACAACTCCTCACTTTACGGAACCTAAGGAGGCCGATTTCTTCATTTGAGATGCCGATGGAAATGGCATTAGAAATGGACCCTAATGTTGACCGAAGTTGCACTATCATCCACAATGTCAAGAAAGACATACGAGCATACTACGAGGTGCTTGAGGAGAAGAGGAAGAATGCACAACAAATGACTCTTGATGCATTTATCACGGCTAAACCTTCAACCCCCAGTGCACCAACCACCCCACGTACATCCAAACAGAACACAACTTTTAGGCAGCTGTTCAAGACCAGTGTAAACACCCAGCCTTCAACGAGTCAACCACAGCCTTCAACAAGTGAACCCCAGCCTCAAAACAGTGGAGAACAACAGCTATCAGTGCAAATTGACACCGATAATGAGAGTGAGGTGGTTGACGACCCTGGCAGTGATGATGAGAGTGAGATGGCTGACGACCCTGGCAGTGATGATGAGAGTGAGGTGGCTGACGACCCTGGCAATGATGATGAGAGTGAGGTGGTTGACGACCCTGGCAGTGCTGATGAGAGTGAGGTGGTTGACGACCCTGGCAGTGATGATGAGTGAGGTGGCTGACGACTCTGGCAGTGAGAAGAGTGAGGTGGCTGACGACCCTGGCAGTGAGAAGATTGAGGTGGCTGACGACCCCAGCCTCCTCTCACCCAAGTAAACCTTCACCCTCTTCCCTAATGCCAACTTCAGAAAGCAAGCAACACAGCACATCAGAGGTAAATTAACAGTCTACGGTTAAAACTTACCTCACACACCTGCGCACATAAACATTCAAACACTCGCACTCAAACATATAAAGTACCCCTGTATACTGTACTTGTAAACATATATGCCTAATAAACTCAAAGTGTTTGTTATTGATGTTTATTTGATATTATGCCCTTGTTTCTTTATTTATTTTATGTTCTATATGTATTGAATAAAACAAGTGTTAAAATCTGACGGTCGTGACCACCGTGCTGCCTGTATCACCCCTATTTACATTATTTCTTATGGGACAAATTGTTCCGCTATTCGCAATTTCGATATTCGCAACGAGTTTCATGCCCGTAACCTTTGTGATAAGTGAGGCAGCCCTGTACTACACTAGACTAAAATTTCTATCTCTTGTGCAAACCATATGATGTTTATACTCAAATTAATCACTATCTTACAAGGATTCAAGCAATGCAATTTATATTCTGCTAAGTCTAGTCAGCTACATTTTATAAGATAAAAACTTTAAGCCTAAAACTACCTTCACCCTGGCTGGGAGGGAGGGAGGGGGGGGGGAGGTAAGTGACCTCTCATAATTTTGTCCAGACTAAAGAAGGTGCCAGACCATCAGTTGTCGGATAATCGGTGGTGTACCTGTATAACCAAGTGCTTTTAAAAAAACTTTTAGAGCATATATTATTGTTTTCATGAAGCAGTGAAGAAGGAAAATTGAAATACAGTGCAGTACTATAATGAATTTCTCAACTTAAAATACCAAATTTATAATATAAACTAATCATTACAGATGATGGCTCAGAACAGAAGATATCCCAGTACTGTACTACCAAATATTAGTAACCCCTCCACCTCCACTTAAAGTATAACCTTGATCTGTAAGAGGCAGATGCTTTTTCCATAATGTGAAAAGTTTTTATCTGAAACAGAACATATTTGGGGCAGTTCTACAGTGGAATCAACCTGCTCAAAAGCATTTAATGTTGATACATTATATAGACACCAAGTAACTTTAGAGTAAGACCAAGTGAATCAAGTATAGGTATTACAAAATGCCAAGATGTTTAATATATCATGGAAGCCACACAACAATATTGTTAAAGCTGCCTTCCAAATGCTGGGAATGTTGTACAGATACTATAGCTACTTCACTCTTGAGCAGCTGCTTCAAGTATATAAGGGATTCATTCAACCTAACTTGGAGTACTGCTCTCATATCTGGGGTGGCTCTTCTTCTGTCCAACTGTTAGATAGGGTGGAATCAAAGGCATTTCATCTTATGAACTCTCATCATTTAGTTGATAATCTCTCTTCCCTTTCTTTTTGCCACAATGTTGCTTCAGTGCTTCACTCTCTCTCTTTTACAGATACTTTAACAGGCAATGTTCGGTGGGTTTGGCATTCTGTGTAACGCTGGCAAGGCAGTGGGCTAGTAACACTCTGTCTTGGCTATGGTGCCCACCATTTCTGTGTGGATGTCAATTACACTAGAATAACCTGTTACAGTACATCCTTCTTTCCTCACACAGCCAAACTGTGGAATGTTTTGCCTTCTTTTGTGTTAACATCCTCTTACAATCTGTCTCACTTCAAAAAGCTGGTTTTCCGGCATCTTCGTGGTGTAGATTAACATACTCTTTTTCTCCTCTAATTTTATTTTCTTTACCTTTATTTTTTCTTCCCCAGGCACCTATTGTGGGTCGATGACCTGTGCGTAAATGGGCTATACTCCATAAATGGCATACACAACAGACCCCTCAAGAATGTTATTTTATTTACTGAAACAGTACTGTACATACTAAAATATCAAGAATAATATGTAGCATCTAATATAGAGAACACAAACAAATTCTACCCCTCAAACACCAATACAATCTATACAACATACACTCATTGGCTCTTAGGGGACTAACTCAGTAGAGTGCACTGTGATTGGCTGCTCTCATATACCTTCTATCAGCAATGCACAACCTACAGCCCCCGGGCCAGATGCAGCCCTCAGGTAACACTATTGCTGCCCTTGGTGTCTTATTAAAAGAAATGAATATATAAAATATGAAATAGATAGTTTAAAAAAACCTGTGACTTGTGACTTGAAAACCATCACTGGCTGCATTCATTAACAAACTAAACTACAAAGCTTATTTCTCATTTATTTTGATAAAAGTAAATTTATCGTAATTTTAAGTTGACAGTAGCTCAAAAACTATGTCCAGATGCAGTGAAGAAATTTGAAAACATCAGTTTGAATCAGATGACAGTGCAATGTACAGTTAGAAAGCTACTGATTTTGTCTACTTTTTTGCAGCAGCTAATGAACCTACTGGTGTGACATCAACAGCTCAGCTATTAGTGTTCGCACGGCACGTGGTGTAACAGATGACTTTACTATTCATGAAGAACTTGTTGGTCACAGTTCACTGAAGGAGCAAACAAAAGAGAGCAACTTATTAAGTGGATTTTGGGAGCATATCAGGTCTATTGAGTTAAATATGGACAAATTAGTTGGTTCTACTGTTGATCAAACACCTTGGCAGTGCAAAAACGAACCGATACAGTTTCACTGCACTATACAGCAAGAAAATTTTTGTAGAAAAGACTAGAACTTTGAAAATTGTACCTCTCTAGTCCGGCAACATCGGGACCTGACCGGTGCCGGACCATGGAAATTCACCCTTTTCCTGGATAGATTGTGACTTGTGCTTACGCTTGGAAGCACTAGCACCACTTTCTCTTCTTCATGGTCTCTTTGAAGACATATTGAAGGGTTAAATGTCGTACAGAAGCTTCTCAAATTTCGCGAGTTTGTAATTCGACGTTTTCTATTTGAACACACAAAAAAAACAACACATTAAAAAATTTTGATGGCGGAAACTAGAATTTCGACGGGTTTGAACGGCCCACCGACGTTCAGACGTCGTGCACAATCATGTAAACATTGTCATTTCTCTTATGTACAAAAGATTCATTATTGTTCATTACTGAAAGTCTTTTTGATTGAATTAATGTTTGTGTGTGCAAAATGAGCAATACAATTCATTAATAATACGTAGAATATTAAAACACGAGGAAATGAGACAGTATTGTTTTCGTTGATTACAAAACCAGTGACTGACTGGTTCTACATATATAACTGAAAAAAATAAGACCCTGGTTGTAGCTGTAGTAAAATTAATATGGTTGTTTTAAGTAATGTTATTTAATGTTAATAAATGGAACAATAGAAGTAGCTAACGATAATGGTAAAGAAAAAAGACAGATCGCGTATGTAGGTAAGTGCGCATGCGCACACGTGAAAACATATCGTCATTACTTTACATAAGAATATGAAAGCAACACAAATTTACTGTTCATATATATTTTTTATTAATGTTTCTGAATTTGTTTTTATTGAATTAATGTTTGTGTGTGCAAAATTAACAATACAATTTATTAATAATACGTGGAATATTAAAACACACGAGGAGACGAGACCAGGGTTGCCAGATGGCCGTTTCCATGGCCAAATTTCTCTAATTAGGCCGCAAAAAACTTCGCCTGGCCGTGGAAAAATGGATGGTCACGGCCAAACTATTTGATCGTATTTTGGCCGAATTTTGTAAAACATGTATTAATTCCTCATTTAGTGGATTGTGAAGAAAAGTCTAGCAGATTTTCAAATTTCACAATGAAAATGCTGGCTCAGTGACCTCACCTAATCAGTGACCTCACCTCTTCACATGTTTACGTGACCTACTGAGCTGACTGATCTTTCTAGTTACTACCTTAGTTGTTAGTTCTCATATTTGAGTTGTTCAGGCTGAACGTGTCCAGCATATGGGTTAAGCTTCAGAGCTTACAAAGCCATCGGAGTTACTTTCTGAAATTCCGAGTGCTAGTTTTCAAAATGTACACTAGTAAATGAAAAGGGTCCTATGACAGTGGTAGAAAATATAACAAACCAGGGGACGATGACGAACTAGACGTTTTTGCTTACGCCAACTAGTGTTATCAAGTTCTCCACCATTTCAGATTAAGGTAAATCTTCACTGTAGATTATAGATATTATGTTTATGTAATTATTGGGCTCTCAATTCTAAGTGAAAATTGGGTTTTATTACGACATTTTAAGTGGATATTGTAGGGGATACTTTTATTTTGCGTGGATTGCAAAAATAGCTTTGTGCTTCCCATCCAAAAAGTTTTGGTCGAATTTTGGCCGATTTGGCCGTGAAGCTTGTCGTACATCGGGCAACCCTGGACGAGACGGCTGCCGGCATTGTTTTTGTTAAAGCTTACAAAACCAGTGACTGATTGGTTCTACATATAAAACTGAAGAAAATAAGACCCTGATTGTAGCTGCAGTAAAATTAATGTAAAAAAATTATTATGGTTGTTTGAAGTACCTGTAATGTTGTTTAATGTTAATAAATGGAACAATATAAGTAGCTAACCATTAATGGTAAAAAAAAGTCAGACTGGGCGTATGTAAGTGCGCACATGTGAAAACTTATCGTCATTACTCTACATAAGAATATGAAAGCAACACTTATTTACTGCTCATATATATTCAAGGGTTAAATGTTGTACTCTGTGTAGACAAGCAGAGAGAGAGAGAGAGAGAGAAAGTGAGAGAGCAGCCAAACTGCCGGATGTAAACAAACCTTAATTTCCAGCAGCTTTGTTGTTGTTTTTTTTAAGGGGATTAGCCCATCAGGGCATAGGTCACTGACCCACATTGGGGCCTCAGGGGCAAAAATGTAATACTCCTGTAATAATAATAATGATTCAGATAAAAAAAAAAAAAACTGCCTATCTACCTAGTGGACAAACTAAAATCGTTCCGGACCACAGAATGCCGGACTAGAGAGGTACAACGTGTATTATTATTGTTTCTTCTTCTTATTATTATTATTGATTCTTATTATTATTGTTACTTCTTATTATTATTATTGTTACTTATTATTATTATTATTGTTTCTTCTTCATATTATTATTATTATTACTTATTACTGTTTCTTCTTCTTCAATTGTTTCTTATTATTATTGTTTCTATGTCTTCTTACAGTTTCTTCTTCTTATTAATGTTTTTTTCCCCTCATCTTAATATTTCTTCTTACTGTTTGGGGGTAGCTATATCCAGATCCTGGGTACCTAGACTAACTTTTACTTACTTAAGGCACTCTATCTGTAATTAAACCAATCATATGGTAGGAAAACTGCAAAAAATAAATGTTACCTTCAATAGCCATATCAACATTAAGGTAAGCTATAGTCCTGTCAGACAACTGCTTTCCAAACTGCTCAGTCCACTCTACAGAGGCAACGATACCATACTCCTCGGCTCCCCAGCCACAGAACACTAAGGACCGTCGGGGCCTCCAACCTGTTGGATCACCATAATTACAAGTCTTTCTTTGCATATATATATATATATATATATATATATATATATATATATATATATATATATATATATATATATATATATATCTGTAGAGTACAATACAGTATAAGTAAAACCTCGCTAAGGCGGACCCCCCTCAAACCGGACAAAGTTATTTGCAATAAAAAAGACATAATTTGTTGTAAGATGACATGCTCCCTCACAAATATGTGCTGAATATGGAATTTCAAAGCACTCAGACTCAGAGTGACTGCAAGCCTCTTGCAGTGAGAGGCATGTCCAGCTGAATCTGCCTTCCATTTTTTGGGGTAAGTGTACAGTTCTTTATGTATATTACTTTGTTTTTATTAATTTTGATTAAAAACATGTATTTCATTCATAAAAATTGGATACATTGGTGTTGTACTTGTTTTTTGTTTAAGAGTGTTTTTTTTTTTGCTCTTAGGCAGACTGGACACCCCTTCCCCCCAATTATTCCGCCTTAGAGAGGTTTTACAGTACTGTACATTCAAAAATAAACTGAAGATGTCTTGAATAAAGATGAAAGCTAAGATGCTTCAGTGTTTCCCATTTACTGTGTGGTTTGAGTGACTGTGGAGTGCTTTTGCTCTGACTATGAAGTGCATCAGAAGGTCAGTAATATGGGACCACTAATCCCCCACCCTACCTTCACAGCAAATGAGAGAAGAGTTTATAGACAAAGGGTGGACATGACTTTGCATCATGTCAGGTCAGCAGCATGAGACCACTAATCCAATACCACACCTCCATCACAAGTGTTAAAAGATGTAAAAAGTGATTACAGTTACATATTATATTCAGGATATTGGACAATGTACTCCTCCTGTAGGCTCAAGACAACAGTAGTAATATATATTATTTTGTTTATTTATAATATATTGTACGTGTACATTACAGTGGTGTTTTTTAAATAACTCCAGCTCTTGTGTCTTTTCGTGTGAGATGCGTAGCTTAGACTCTCAGGAAATAATTCCCCAGGGTGGAAAATTCCAATGTGATACACAGCTCCATTCACGAGGCACCTCGCACGCCCTTATCATATAGATTTATAGTTTTTTAAATAACCAGACTTTTAGACAAATTATTCAGAATAATTTGAGCAAAAAAATATTTTTCTAACGCAATTAGAACTGACTTTATAATCCAGTATCAACATTTCTTAAATGTTTTCATAAGATAATTCAGTCCCATCATTATATCATGTCAAAATAAATTGTTTAAGGCTCTTTTATTGGGAAAGTCTGATAAAAATTTATTCAGGATCATTATGGTATCAAATTTATAATTCTAACAATTAGAATAGATGCTGTGAATAAAAGTTTATACAGTACACTTTTTTGATAAGGTAAAGGAGGTGGTGGTGTGAGAGAGGGAGGAAAGGGAAGATATCCTTGGAGGGGGGAACTGACCACACAGTCAGTTTTCCCCAATCCTCCATCCCACTGACTGCCTCTCACTCATTCTTCTATGGCTGTCAATTATGATACAATATTGTGCAGTACAGTTATTTATTTGTTATTCAATAACCAGAAAAGATTCATTACAGTACAGTAATAATATTTGTTTATTAATACCTGTATACTTCATATACAATACAATATACAGGAAACCCCCAATATAATGGACAAATTTGGGGGAAGGCCGGTCTATTAAAGCTGTTAATCCATTATACACAGTTCTGGAATAATAACAAGTCACTGTGTCTTATATACCAACATTGTCTAAAATGACTAAGATCATTTTTAATACAGGTATGTTTAAAAGGCAGTTCACTTGCACTGTTAAGCCCTAACAATGGTTGGGGTCCCCCTCCCAGGTAACTAAATTTATGTAATGAGCTAACACAACTACAGGCATCACCCTGGTTACGGAATTTCGCTCTAACGGAATTTGTAAATTATGACCAATAATTTCGCGTTACGGCCGTAAATCCGCCCGTACGGAAATTGGGGTAAATTTTAACAATTAAAAAAAAAAAATCACTGTATAAAAATATAATTTTTTGTTAAAAATTATAATTTGTTTTGTGTGGATTTCTTGGTGTTTGCTACTGCCAAGCGTGGCGTCGCCATGTGGAGTCACTCCATTGTTTACATCCAGTGTGCGCGCATGTTTTGCGCCCCAGCAGTTTGATTTAACATTTACAAACATACAGTGAGTACAGTACAGTGCATTACCCTTATTCAAGATGACTGGAAAGAGGCCATCAAGTGGAAGTGACCGCAGTAGTGCAAAAAGAAGCCGTACATATACACTAGAACTCTTAAATCACTACTGTAATGTGATACAGGTGATTAATTTTATCTCTTGTGCAAAATATATGACGTTTATATTCAAATTATTCGCTGTCTTGCAAGGATTCCAGCAATGCAAATTATATTCTCCTAACTTTAGTCTGAAATATTATATAAGATAAAAACTTAAAGCTTATTGAAAACATCAACCCTTTGTTGGGAAGGTGAGGAGTAGGGAGGGAGGGAGGGAGGGAGCGAGAGTGGGAAGAGGGGGGAGCGGGAGGTGAGGTGTACTTTGACAGTTAGCGGGGAAGATCTGGTGAAATATTTAATTTATTTATTTATGTCCTTTAGTTGAGTTTTTGTTTTTTGCTCATAAAACTGCATAGAAATGACCAGGCAGAATATAATTTACATTGCTGGAATTCTTATAAGATAGTGATTAATTTGAATGTAAACATGCCATAGTTTGCACTAGACAAAAATTTTAGTAATCATTTTGTATATTATTCTGATTACATGTACAGTTCAGCTTTGCCCTTAGGACAGTGTAAGCATGTAAATGAGTTTCAATAAATGAATAAAGTTACATATATCGAGCCAAAAATAATGTTGAAAAACTCTATGTAGAGAGCTTCGATGGTTAAATTTTAGAATGAACAACAATTTTAATACTGCATAAAAAATGCACAAATATTAAAGAGCACAATTTTTTTGATATTTATTCCATTGGAAACGAATGTAAACATAGAAGAGATTATTGAATTGGCTGAGTACCTCCTCAGCTTATCAGCTGATGTTCAAAACAAAACGTGATTTTCATAAGGATTTCGTTAATCAATTTTTTTTCAATAACCAAATTGAAGATTCTTATGGAAGGAGATTCGTTAACCGAAATTTCGTTAACCGAGGCGTTTGTTAACCGAGGGACCACTGTATGTGAGGGTTGTGTATCACCACCACTATCATTCTATTCCTGCTGTTTAGTGGCTTACTATACAGTGGTCCCTCGGTTAACGAGCACAATCCGTTCCAGCAGGTTGCTCATTAACCGAAACCATTGTGTCATGATCGTAATGACGGCTAACCTGTTAAACTAATGATCCATATTACGCTTACACGTCCACAAAAACTTCTGAGTTTCCCAGTGTGAATGTCCTCCCTTCTCCCTGTTTCTTTGATGACGTCATCGAGATGTCGTATGTTTGTTGACTGTAGTTGTAAATTCTTTCTGCTACTGAGAACCTGTAAACCTTTTTTTTTTCACCTATGATTAGCAGAGACTCTGATAATCATAGTGAAATTGTGGTAGGGAGGTTAACTGAGGAATGAGTTGATATTCCTAGAAAGGAAACTTTAAAATCTGATCCACGGGTGTTGCAGCAAGACGTTGCGTGTTGGGACCTGTTGCCATCCAACCTTTGTTATCAATTTAATTCTTGCTTTTGATAGCTCAGTCAGAGCATTGTTTGTAAAGATAATAGTAGGGAATGAAACTGAGTTTGTAGTCTCAGTTTCAAACGTCAGAGTGTTACATTAACATAATTCAGTGAAATGGTTGAGTAGGTGGAATCTGTGACTTTAGGGGGGGTGGAAGGTGGCGGTTGCTTTTTCGAACCAGTCAGCGCCATGCTCCTCCTCCGTGTTGTAATTCGCCATTTTTAAGTGATTTGACCTAACTATAGTTTGTTTGTGCAAGTGTTAAAGTAACGTAATCAATGTGCTTTGAGTGAAGTATTTTATGTCATTAATGTCCCTTTGAAACGTGGAGGTTCGTTATGAACCGTCAGTGAGCCGCCACGCTTCCCTCCCACAGGTCCCTAACGCAGCCTATGCCGTGTCTGTAGTGTGGATGACGCATCCACTAGTCTTGGGAGATGTCTGAGGTCCAGTGGAGTCGGGTGTCCCCGTGAACCCCGACCATCAGAAGCTCCACTACCAGCCATGGACCCCATAGGGGGTAGTATTCCCCTAACGCTCTGCCCCTGTGGTGAACCCGGATCTTCAAGCCCCCAAACTTACTGCCAGCCCCATCATTGGTGGATGAGTACAGTACATAACTCGGTGGGGCTGTTGGTGTGGTGGTGTTAGTCTACCGGAATTATCGGAGTTTGTTGGAAGGTGTCACTTGGTGATGAGACTCCCAGGGTGGCCACTGGAGTATGGCCCCTGGGGTATTGAGTGTTGTACTGGCAGGTGCCACTGGTTTTATTGGTACTAAGGTGCTGTAAGAGTTTATGTGTGTTTTGGTGTGGGTACACCCAGTAGTGATGCAAGTAAATTGAGCCTGAGGGCATGGTACTCGGAGTTCCTGTTTTGGGTGAATACAATGTCTTTTCTGTCACCATTTTTGTGTTTAATAAACATTGTATTTGTATGTGGGTCTATGATTCACCTATAATATTCACCGTTGTTCTCTCCCTAATGCTCGATACTATATTTACATGTACCCATGGGCCTTCCTCTCACGTCACGCTACCAGGTCAGAGTATCAACGTAAGTTGTAAGAGTGCCAAGCCCTCACAGGGTGGCAGCTTGTGTTGCGCATTCTTACAATTGGTGGCCTCAGTGGTCCATGCAGTAAGTAGTAGCAACCCGCGCTCTTACAATTGTTTCAATGGGTTTTTGGATAATTGGTTCCAGCTCACCAAAAATTGCCTAAATTCAACAAAAAAGGTAGAAAAGTACACTTACTTTGAGGTGTGTATGTAGAAGGCTCCTGGA